CCGCCCCCGCGCAAACACCCCGCCCCCCATCACCTGCCAAAGAGACAGGGAGGGTTAGTCTAGGGATCCCTTCCCAACTCTGAGGAGAGGGTAGGCGGCTACTCTGACGCTCAGAGAGTTGCTCCATTGTCAGAACTGGAAGCCCACCTCCCCCGCCTACCGCTCTCTTCTTACGTATGTCGCCTCTTTGTCTGCCAGCAGCTAGAGCCAGGACAGACCCACTGAGTCTTGTCTAGCCCATCTTGCTGCCAGCTAGGGTCTGTTCCCTGTTGTACAAGATGGCCCGTACCCAGCACCTCCAACTCCAAGAAAGTTTGGCTGGCTGGCCCAGCCGCTCCCTAACCCTGGGTATATCAGGATTCACTTGCACTGAGATTTATCATGGGCTCACCTCCAATGCGTTTAGACTCAGTATTCACACCTACGCCTCGAACAGCTCCCGCTTAGACCTCTGTAACCAACCACCCTGGCTCCTTAAAATACTTCATCTCCGTCCCCCCTCAAGCCTCTTCCCTCAAAACTAAATAATCCCACTTGCCAATGTGTTCTTCTGTACATTCCCCTCCCTGGTCTGGCCTGGCCCCCCTTCCAACTCCCCAAGAACGCTCCAATGCAATGGAGCGGCTTCCCGGTTGCAAGGGGGATTCAGTCCCAACCGCTCTCTCCTTCGCAAACGCATCCCTTCCTGCTTCTAGGCTAAAATCCCTGCGCCCTCTAGTGAACATTTGCCGAATAGCTCTGGTCTTCTAGTCTAGGGAGTCAGGAGGGAAGGGAGGAAGGGAAGGTTAAAGCACAGAAGGGAAGGGGAGGCAAAGGAGCCTCCTTTTTCTCAGATGAATTAACAGCAAAAGCTTCCTGCCAGCAAGACCTTATTAGGCTGCAGGATGGTCGCCCAAGGAAAGGGGAGAAACCCCCTTTGCAGAGTCATTTCAAGTTAGACTAGACAGGCCCCCGAGGCCCGGTCTGTAGGGAACAGTCCTGCACTGCCAGGGAAAACCGGACTGGCTGACCGGATCTATAACGTTCTATGGCTGATATGAGACTCACCCAGGCCCTGCCCGATTCTCCACTTAGGGTGACCAGATAGCAAGTGTGAAAAATCGGGACAGGGAGTGGGGGGCAATAGGCACCTATATAAGACAAAGCCCTGAATATCAGGACTGTCCCTATAAAATCAGGACCTCTGGTCACACTATCCCCACCTGGAATCCACACCTTAGTCAGGAGGTACATACATCACTGGGTTTTAGACCCAGATTTATTCCCCTTCCTTGTGCTACACAGGTCTGCTGTGATCCTTGTGGCTTGTTAGTCAAAAGCTGACT